AATTCAGTTTATTTATCTTCATTAGGCTTTTGCTACCGTTTGTTTTTATTCTTGTCATACAATCCTATTAAGCTAACAGTAATGTATACAAAATATAAGTGCGGAAAAATAAAAGTCTACGCTATTACAGGGCTTCGGGGATGAGGGTAAAAATAATAAAAATGCGGGAAAAAAATAATCGAAAACAGTTACAATAATCGAAAAAGGCACAAATAATAAAATACGTGAAGCGATAAAAAGGAAAAGGGAAAGTAAATTGCTTTGGTGATTTGTAATAGAAAAAGTTTGATGATTAACCTAATAACCTAATTAATTTTAATTGATAAAAATAAATTGGTTAATTAAACTAAACAAACCCTAAAAATCTAAGTTGATTTTAATTTAATTAAAAAAGGGTTAATGAAAGAATAACCTAAAAACTAAATTAAGGTTAATTAAATACAAACCTAAAAATTAATTAGGGTTTGTGAAAATATTTTAGGAAAAAATTAATTTGTTAAAAAAGGTTTTGATTTGATGAATTTAGGGTTTCTAAGTGAAAAATAGGAAAAGAAAATAAAGGTTTAAAAAAAGTTACCAGGGATGAGTGTTAAACCCACGCCCTTGGAACCTTTAGTTAACATCTTCACCATCAGGCCAAGCGCGCCTTGGTGTTCGGATATGGCTTCAGCGTGTTTTGTTTAATCCTGCAAAACATGAAAATATTAGGAAAAATAAGTGGCAAAAGGCTGGATTGAACCCATGCTCTTTGACACAAATAACTTAACACGCGCGCTTCAACCGCTGGGGCAGTAATACATCAGTTCATTTATACCAAACGATAAATATATAATATAAATAAACTACTTGAACCGGAGAGGCACCAAAACCCTAGCTCCAGTCGTCTTCTCCGGTGACCCTCTTTTGCCAAACTTGCAAAATAACCTAAATTAGTAATCCAAGGGGACACTACCCCCCTAAATCAAGAGCTACGAATCCAATGAGATAGTTATCTTGGCCTAAATTTCAAGGGTCTTTAAGTTATGATGAAAAATGCATGGATCAATGTAGCTATGGTGATTCGCGATTCAGATTGCATGGGACCTTCACGATTGTTCTACCCTGCGCTACCAAACCTCATGAACACATTAGTGACATTAGTACATGTTAAAGCAAACAGAAAATCAAGATATGAATTTTATGAGAGTATGGAATCGGAGATGCCTTGCAATGGTGTTCTTATGCGTTTTAGACCATCAAACTTGATCCAATCTTACCCTATTGATTGTTGGGAATGAATGGAGTGGCTGTTTGTAGTGAAAGGGCTTGTCATTAGAGTTTCAAGATTTTAGGATTCTTGAAATTTTTGATCTTTTTTTGAAAAGTTTTGAGGAAAGGGTTTCGTGTCCTTTTTGTCTGAATTGATGAGATTATATAGGTTGAAATTAGGGCAAAGATATGGTTTTGGTCTTTGTGTAAGAAGGCTTTGTATTTTTTTCTTATTTGCTTTGGAATTATTAATGAATAAATCAAAATAAATAAAATAAAATAGGTCAAGAGGTGTATGAATAAGATTTGAGGTGTATAAGGAGTGTAATACACGCTTGGACTTTAAAAAATGGCCCAATAGTCCAAAATATCAAGTTTGCTCAATTTGAACTTCATGCATTTGCTCAAAATTTCCTAACTTGCACTAATCATAACTCTCTCAAATTTCATCTTTTGAAGGTGATCTTTGACTTTTTGGAAATCTCAAGATGTCCTATACAATCTATAATTTTATAATTTTTTCATTTGGAGACTTTATCTTGATGTAAGTTGCCTTGACAAAAAGTGTCTTTTTGTTGACTTTTGAAATGACCTGTAATATATTGACCCATATCTCTCAAATGAAGCATTTTTTGGACTTGAGCTTAGAAATAAATATTTATAGAGAATTGAATTTCCTTTAAAATGAGGTTTGGTTGGGGCAAAGTTGATGAAGCAAGTGAAAGTTATGTTTGGTCAAAGTTCAGTTGACTTCTCCTAAGGAAACCCTAATTTGGCAACTTTTGACTTTTGATGATTTGAGGGATTTTCTTGAGTAATCATGATCAACCCTTGATCAAATGATGAATATGACTTCAAAATATTGATGTTGACCAAAAACCTTGAAGTTTGACTGTATGTTGATCATAGTTGACTTTTTACCCAATACAATTGATTTTCAATCATCTGAGCCATTGACTGAGCAAACTTGTGATGCAAGGCATGCAACTTGGTATGACAACTCTTGAAGATATATGAGAAACCATGAAAGCCACTTGAAACCTTAGAAACCCAAATTTCCTTGTGAAAGAAGAAACCCTATTTGTGAACTCATTGCTTAGGAGGAGAATTTGTCTGATAAATTTTTTGAGCAACCTTGAGCATTTAAGAATCCTAGGAGAATGTCTTGAAGAAAAGGGAGGGAAAATTTTGGGGTACAACACATTGGTACCATAATTCTGAAAATGTTGGCAGTTTAAATTTTTAATAATTGTACTGGGAATTCTTAAAATGTCGGGAGTTCAATTTTTCAACATAATATCGAGAATTTCAAAATTGCCTATAATATATGTGCAATCCCAAAAATTTCCAAATTGCTGGTAGTTCATTGATTTTTTTGCATTTTTCCATTTTGTAGTGAAGACTAGGGGAAAAGACGATACTATTGCAGGCAAGACCATATATAAATCGGCAACCCAGGCTAGGGCTGCTGAGGTGAAGTCTTCCCAGCTTAGCTCAGGGGTGCGGTGCATTGATTATCTTATATGCAACACTTGGAGTTGTGATGGACTTTGAGACTAGACAACTTGCTAGCTATTCAAGTCTATTCCAGGTATACTAAAAATTATTATTTGTAGTATAGTTTTTATTAATTATTATGCATGACATTTCTTGATATGTCTATGCTATTTTGTCAGTGTTGGATATACGAGCATTTCCTCGTCATTTTTGACACGAGGGTGCCACATAGTCCATCGTGAGTTTGATAAGGCTTCTCTATTTTATGGTTATATACGTTGAGATACCTTAGTGGCTAGATACTTACTTGAGAGGTGACTGCGACAATATGGGTATGTCCAGGACATCTCATGACCAGTTCATATTGTTCCATCTTCGGGCATTGATAGGTGGTTTTAGAGTAACATCATCAGCTCTGCCCATGCCATTAGAGATATCACAATGAGGGTTCAACATGATGGACAATGTGAGGATAGTTGCTTGGAGTGGTGCCTTACTGTATCACACCCTCGCATCCTCTCACCTATTGATCATACAAATGATGTTGCGCCTTCAGATGTTAGGCGACCTGTCGATGACGTACCACTACCTTCACCTGATGTTGATAACCAACAATGCATGCAGATGATCATTGTTATTATGGATAACCTCATGGGTTTGGTAAACCATATGGTAATGTTTTTATTGGATTACCGCAAGCAACACACATAGCCCATGGGGGACCTATTTAGCTATTTGATTTTACAGTTGTATTATTTGTATGTTTTGTGACCCAGACTATTTAGCATCGTACCTTTTATCATATAATATTTTGTCGATTACATGTTTGGAAGATGAACACGACTTAAGACATTACAACCAACATAAATTAACAATAACGAACATGAAAACCTAGACACCATCATATGATTCTGGATGTTTCAACATCTTGATTATGTCATCAACAGATCTTGAAAATGTCGCATCAAACTCGATCGGTCCCATAGTTAACCTACAGTGAAATGTTCTCCATATAACCTTCAAATCTTCACCAGTCTTCAACTCAATAAAGCCGTATTTCACTTTTCCATCAATATATCTAGTCTGCACGAAACTCGATCTTACCCACCTTTCTATTCTCAGTGTCAGACAACAAATCATTCAACGTAGGTCTCAAGATGAAGAGACATGTGGTGTCCTTCGGAAGCCAGAACTCTACAGGAGGTTTCACTCTGTTAAAGTACACTTCTGTCTTAATCAAAAATTGAGGAAGATGCATTTTGAGATGTTTTTCTCAACAACAGGTGATCACTGTTTATACAATTTTAAATTCATTATGGACCCCACAAAATAGTCGGTGCAATTATAGTCGTACAAAATTATTGACAAAATCGTAATCGTTAGAAATTTGCACTATTGAAAATTTCACATTGGTTGAAATTTCCGATATCACATGGTACTTTTTGAAAATACAAATATTATTTCAAAGATACTAAAAATTAAAAAAAAAAAATTAATAGTAATTCATATTAGAAATTTTGAATGAACAATCGAAAATTTTAATTTATATAAAAAAATTTCAATAAACTATTGAAATTTTCGTTCACACATTTGAATCTAATTTTGTTTAGGAACAATTTTAGAATTAGTAAAATGTATGGGGTGCCAAATTTAATTTTGGGGGTTTGAGAAAAATCTGTTTTGTATGGATATTGAGCCCAACCTCAACAACAATATTTGATACAATAGGAGAATTCTTCCTCTCACCTTTCAATTTATACTTAACACCATCACATATTTTTATAATTGCAAAAATATTCTTGTCAAAATTTATTAAAAAAAGAGCGAATAAAAAATCCGATAATACAATTGAAAAATCCAGTATTAATGAAAAAATTTGCAGTGTATTTCAAAAAGTTCAATATGAATTTTTACCCATTTTTAAAAAAAATTAAATTTAACATGTCGAATATTTCGAAAAATCTGATATTTTTGATAATTTTCTGGATTTTAAAAAAAATTGATAGTTCCTATTTAGTTAGTAAATTTTTTTTCAACGTATTTTCAAAATATTTATAAATTGTAAATATATTTTCTCCCCTAGAAATAACAGAAAAAAACCACAAGTGAAATCCCAAAAACCGGAAAAGTTGAAGGACCAAATGGTAAATAACTAAGCTTCGTATACGAGTGTTTAGGTCTTTCCCAAATTTGTATGAATTAGGGTTTTGTGAAAAACAACAGCGTCTTCGAAATTCTGCAACACAGAAGGAAAAATGTCAAAGAAGAACAATCTCGCAAAGAGAAAGAGGCAGCACGAATTCGAACTTCGAAGTACTGTCTCACTTTCGATTTCCCCCAAATTTCCAAACCCACTCTTCAAATTTCCATGTTCTGATTTCATAGTTGTGACAATTTCTTTCAGGAGAGAAACTCGAGAAGGAGAAGAAAGACAAGAAGCTTCAGGCGAAGAAAAACAAGATGAAAGTGAGTGCTTCCTTTTGTTTCCTCAAATTCATATTCTGCTTTGTGCTCGCGTATGGGCTTTCGGGATTTTGGCGGTTTTGTCACGTCCGTTTTTGCAGTTGCTGACACTTTTTTAAAGTGTGTATTTTAGAGATTAATAATTGTGTGATTTTGTTGGAAAAATATTGTTTAGGTTGATGGTAGTGACCGGAAAAAGAAAGGTGGAAGTGGGTTTCAGGTGGGAAAGAAGAAACTGAAGACTAAGATATCAGCTCTGTCTAAAGCTAAAGCTGCACAAGCAATGGAGCTTGATAAATAAGGTTGCTTTCTGATGTCTTCTTTAATTTTAATTTAATGCCGATGCCGATAATGACAAAATGGTTTGAGGTTCTGTTTCTGTATTCTTTTTTGTTTTGAGCTATTTGACTATGAGAGTGTGAGATGTATATTAGGTATATCTTGAGTTGATGTCCATCTCTTGCAATTTTGTCTCTAATCAACTATGTAGTTTTATCTATGTCATTAAATTCACCACTGGAAAGGGATAACTTTTCGATGTGTTCTTTGTTTGGGTGTCCGATTTGATAATGTATTAATTGCATGCCAATGTGGCGTAGCATGCATTTATTTTGGCAAAACGATCTAAATGTGTTGGACGTCTAACTAAATACACACTAACAGATGTGCATGTAATCTGTTTAGACATCAGTGTTTGGTATTTTATGTGTATTATGGGTTTTGTTATCATTAGAATGCATTTGTATATGCAGGTATCCATATAGGTGGAAGTTATTTTGCTTTTACAAAAATAAATGATATTCAGTTTTACTTATCACACACAGGTAAACATGTTAGGGTAGGTGAACCAATCAGTGTGTTAATAACTGGTTTTTAGTTTTTGCTGGAAATTTGGTAGATTTTCATATACAAATCCAAACTTATAACTCTGTTTTTGTTTCACTTATGGCAATTTGGCAACATGAAGCATTTTACCTGTCTCTGCCAGGTTAATGAACTGCAAATTGCATGTTCTTCCTTTTAAATGCATATTAAAGTTTAAAATGGCAATTGGTATATAATAGAAAGCTAAACATGTTTCTTTGAAATGCAATATATGAATATTATTGTTGTTTTTTTTTTTATAGATAATGTTACTGGCTTATTCAAGAGCATAATTTCCATAGTTTTCTTATTTTCTCCATTGTCAGAATTCGGCATTAGCATTTTATTCTCTGGACTATTACGTCTTTTGTATATTTAGACAAAGTCACATTAAGCATAATAAGAGATGAAATGTTTGGAAGTCTTCATTCGGGTGGGAGTGACTGAGTGAGGTTCTGTCCAAGCTCTGAGTAGAAGTGTAGAACCATAAAAAGGCATGTGAATGGGAGTGGATTTTCTCATAATCACAAATTTAATAATATAAATAAATAAACAAATAAATACTGAACTATTTATTTTGTCTGAAAAAAAGAATGCTTTTGAGCTTGTTCAACCTCGGTTCAGTGTGGGTGGAGTGGTTCAAGTATGGAAAAGTTAGGCGTCTCTCTTTGCAAATTAGGAGATGAGAGTTTTGGAGGAAGAAAACCCTATATTTTTTACCACAGGAGTCCAAGTGTTTGGTCCATCAAACATAGATAACATCAATTCACCATGTATGAAAAATAGAAAATGAAAACTAGAAAATGTTCCAAATACTTTTTCAAAAAGCTCATAGAGGTTACAGTTGTTGATGCCGAAGGTTATCCCCTATACAGAAGAAGATTCAATTCCCATGTGATTCAAAAAAATGGTATCACTTTGGACAATCGTCGTGTTGTATCTTACAATACAAGATTACTTTTGAAATACCATATACATATCAACATGGAATGGTGTAACCAAAGTACGTCTATCAAATATCTTTTCAAGTATATATACAAAGGCTTTGATAGAATCACATCAATAGTTGTCCCTTCGAACTCTGTTTCAGGGACAGACAAAGAGCCAATTGATGAGATCAAACAATATTTGGATTGTAGGCATGTCTCCCTAAGTGAAGCGTGTTAGATAATTTACTCTGTGAAAAAGCGGTTTACTACACCAATTACGACAAAATGGAGAATATATTGAAAAATGCAAGTGTGATTAAGTCTATGTTCACTACTTGCTTGGGTGGTTGCAAATGGGAAATACGAAAATGCCCGGTCTCTGACTTACGGTCAATTTGTCTCAAAATTTGTTTATGAAAAGAGAAGCAGAACATGGAAACCACAGAAAAAGGGGTTCACCATTGGCCGTTTGATATGGGTTCCACTAACCACTGGAGAACTTTTTTACTTGCGAATGATGTTGACTAGTCAAAGGACCCTCCACTTATGAGGAAATTTGCAAAATTGGCGACAATCAATTTGAAACTTTTTAGGGATGTCTGCTTTGCAACGAGCTTCTTTGAATGCCACTGATAATACATTGGGGCTATCAAAGAGGCGAGTGAATGGAGTTTAGATCATTTTCTTCGCAAGCTTTTCGTCGTCATTCTTTTGTCCGGCGTTGTTAATCGGCCTGCTCATGTTTGGAACGAATCATGGATGCTATTATCGTATGGTTTGTTGTATGGATACAGGTTTCACCCATCTCTCTAATCATTTATTGTGTTATACATTGAAATTTTATTTCCTACTTCCCGATGGACTAATTCCACATTAATCAACTCGGTTGCAACAACTAACTATCTGTATTTTTCATAATGTCAAATATCATAAATATTTTTGAAGTCTTGATCAAACTTTGTGATTAATTCATGCTTCCAATGAATTAGAGAAGGCATATTTCTGTTATGTATTAAACTAATATGCCTTCTAACTCTCAAGTCACTTTGTTTCATGTTATCAATGGGAGCAAATTTGGTTTTAACAAAGACCCAATTAATGAATTTAACTTTATTTGAGATTGAAAAACTTCTTCAAGTAAATCGATGAAGTCTCTCAGACTTTAAACCAATTCCATATTCAGATGAATATGTTATGCAATAATTAGACAATCAACTTATATATGATGAACGAAATTATGATGTGACTACAATGAGATTCAAGTTCACAAACCTTTTAAATGCTCTGACATGTTAATAATCATGATTATTAACTTATTTTTTCAATTAGGTTTCTGAACATTTATATTCATTTGCTTCTTTCTTTATAATGAAGGCGTACAGTGATTCTTAATAACCAATTCTTAGATGAACAAAGAAGTATTTATGAAGAAATCACAGCGTTTGTCCAGACTCAAAAGGATGAGGTGTTCTTCTTACATGGTTACAATGGTAACGAAAAGACATACATGTGGAGAATACTTGCAAGTGTTTTGAGATTCAAGCATGATATATGCTTAACCATTGTAACGAGTGGAATAATTTCTCTTTTATTGCTCTGTTTATCGTGAAAATTGATAAACAATCACTGATCTTCCAAAAATGGTTATTTTGGTGACTTGTTGGATCGATCAGATTGATCCTAGGACATATGCTAAGGTATTTATAAGTAAGTAAGTTTAAGTGAAAATGGTTGAAAGGGAAATTAAGAGTAAATGCAAGATGCAGGCGAAACCTTGATAAAAGTGCAAGTAAAAGGTAAGTAGAAAGGGTTGAGAAGAGTTTAAGGATAAAGGTTGAAAAATGATAAGAAGTGCAAGTGAAAGGCAAAATAAAGTAAATTTACAGTAATGATAAAGTTTGCGAAGGAATGTAAATGGCAAGGAATGTAAAGGAATTGTAAAGACTTTGATTGAAATAAAAGATGGTGTTTCAAACGTACATTCTCAATATCTTTTCTCTCACAACGGGTACTTGGATAAGATTGAGTGACTTGTACCATATGTTGAACACACAGGAATCTACATAAAATCCCTATATTTATACTAAAATTAAGTAATCGTCGAACAATTGCCTTGTTTTAGGATGAGGACAAGTGTCCTCTGTATGTGCTTCGACTTCTATCTTCATGCCACGTCGCTTTTCTCAACTGCCAAGTGAACTACCTTTCCCTCCTTTCTTTAGATTCAAAATTACTTGTTGCTGATACAAAGCTTTTCGGTCGAAGTACAAAGGATTTTCGGTCGAAGACTATTTCCAAGTTAGAAAATTATCTAAGTGTTCCTTCTTCTCTTAACAAGGTTTCGACATGACCAACTTCAATAGGCTCTTCTGTCGAAACGTCTCCAACTTAGATTTTTTCAATCCATTTTTTGGCCAATAAGACCAATATATTATGGGTGTCGAATTTAGGAGCTAACAAATTGTCCCTCAAGAATGTCAATTTCGACACAAGAAGAAATAATCATTCTTTGATGTATTTATTCGACACCTGTAAGCTTTTTAACCACAAAAGCTTATCGTACACTTTTTATCTTCCACCAACCATTGCTGGTATCAGAGTAATCATTACACTTTTCCAAAACGTCACTATCAGTCAGTCGTTACACGCTGCCATGATGGCCGTTATCCTTATAACCTAGGAAAGCATGGCAAACGTCTCCATTACTTGTCCGTATAACTGCCTTAAAGCTCATCACATGTCCCACTCACTCTGCAACATTAAATGGTTTTGAGGGAAAACACTCTTCCCTGGCCACTATAAATAGCTACGAGTACTTCTCTTTGGAATTTTTACAAACGCCCGAAATTCCTTGTTTCCCTGTATTCAAAAGAAACCTTTGAGAACTTCATCTCTTTCATCGTTCTTCTACCAACATAGCCATGGCTTTTTTATCAAACGCTCAAAACAACCCCAAAACCAAAGATGCCTCCGATTCACAATAACAACCAGAAGTTTTTGCAACTAGCTTTATCCCTGCCTCGACTGGGGAACGAAGGTTCGTTCTGGAACCCATGAATAAAGAATGGCGTGATACCTACAACTCACAGCTACTCATTCTTGTTAGATATTATGGGTAAATGTATGCCATGACTGGTCCATTGTCTGCATCTATTGAAAACCCTTAGCAAAACAACGCTTTCTTCCCAACTCACCCTAGGCTCAAGCCTATAGGTTTGGCAAAGAAGCCCAAAGATGAACCTGAGGATGCGACTCCTGCTAATCAACAACATTCTCAGACGAAAGAAGACATAAACCTCCAGTTTATGAATAAAGGGAACCGAATCTTTAGGTCTTGCCCTAGCCTGACTTCAGAATATTCAGAATGGTTGAATAAGATGAAAACAGTGCAAACCCAAATCTGGAAAGACATGGGAATTTACGATCTGATCATGCTATCGAAGATTGAGTTATCTTATTGTCCCCTCATGCTGGTATCCTCTTTGTACTTTTGGGATATCACACATTT